CATTCCTTTCCTTTAATACATGTTAAAATTATTCTCAAAGAATAAGTCAATGGGAAACAGGCAAGCACTTTCATTTATGTGGATGAATTACATACGAAAGGACATCTGTCATATTGCTAAATGGCCACTCAATACAAGTGATCTTCTCATCTTAAGGAGAAACCTCCTTTGTGGAATGGTACGTTATGTCTTCGTGAACATTCGAGGACTTGTATTTCAAATTGACAAAACATGATAATAATATTTGAATCTTTGTTCAATTATTTGTTTGATGCTGCTGACGGACTTTCAGTTCTTGATGCTAAATTTCTGACTGTATCACATATTCTGACAAATAGAACCTTGAGGCAAAGTGGCAAGAAACTTATTAAATCAAATTACAATCCCCATGTAATATACGTTTTACTGGAGGAAATGACCATGCTGGTATAACCTCATTGCCAACGGAACGACCGTGAAACCACCGAAGATAAGGGCAGCTCATAAAGCATTTCTCGTTGACAATTCCCAAAAGTGGTTTCAAAGTAAGATAATATCCCAGGAAAATCAATAATGTCGTAAATCTGTATAACGATTTGCCATGGGAACAAAAGAATTATATAAACTAGCGCAAGGGGAATGTTTTGTTGTGACAACGATAGTCTCAAGGATGTTGCTATGTTTTAACCAGATATAATGTCACGATATTGTGAAGGAGCATGAACACAAGACCGGATAATGTCATTAAATAATCATTATACAGCTTTATTGTCCAGATCATGTTACCTTGCAGGTCCGATAAATCACATCCTGTCAAATACGTGTAATTCACACAGATGAGAAGATCGTTAAAATTTGCCGTGCAGCTTATTCTGAATAATGAAGTTGATACGGCGCTTGATTCTGCTAACTTCAAGACACTTCAACTCTCGCTATGCTATGTTGGCGTCGGTGAAGACAATGTTGGGGAACTGTCATATCTGATATTCATTTGACTTAATCCTGAATCATTCTTTGTGTAACTTTTGTAAGTTTACTAACAGTAATTCAAATACTTCCATAAAAACATAGGAGTTTAGAAAGTCGCATGTACCACCAAACATAATTCAGTTTGTTAAACGCACTGTCAGCGTGAACAACTATTGTGTCAGGCATGGACATGAACAGAAGTAGGTCAAGTTTAGCCAGGTCGAAGTTGGGGGTGGAGAGATAGTCATTCTTAATATGTATCAGTGATGGGGAGTTACTTCAAACAAACAGGTACATGAGTATATTCGTTCGTATTTCCACATTACGTCACCACCCCTACAATGGGAGATGTTATGTTAATTTCCAAGCAACGAACTGGTTGATCCCAAACAACCCAGATATGGAACGGTTTGCTGTGAAATCAAATATATATATTTGATTTCACAGTAAACTGTTCCATTGCCACCTTTAGTTTGAACTAATCAAAAAGTTAAATGAATCTTCTTGACCTTGATTAATATGTGTTACATTTATCGCTGCCTGTAAAGCCTTTTCAGAATCTTCCAAGAAATAGTAATTTCGCATTCCCAAAGACTAACGTTTTAAAAGCGTTCTTGCCGTCATGGTAGAATGGAGGTAAACCTACTGCGTAAAAGCGCTCGGTTCCAAAATGAAAGAAGAGGTATCAAAGCGAGACGACCACGAATTACGAAACAGAGAGTTTATCTCGTAAATATATCAATCTTTAATTCCATCAAACTTTACCTGACATAGTCCATAGATGTAGCTGGCGTCCTTCTATTCAACCATAGCAGTGATTTATTTCTAACAGTTATCCTGAGACATATTGCGTTTAAAATATTCTGTATAAGTGGAATTTTATCCATACACTTCAAAACAAAAGAATTGTTGAGACTGGACAGTCAATAGGTGTTTTGTTATCACAAATCTCATGCGTCATCAACTCTCATGTGTTGTATCAATCAAAACAGACACTGGCATGTCGTAAAGCATTATCACATGAAACTGATTAATGTTAGATGCATTAAAATATTCATCAGGGCGTATGGCTAGCTCAATAACGGCAACACATTGCAATAATGGAATTTCAATAGATGGAGCAATTCACATGAATGCCTGATTAGTTTACAGGCCGACTTTGTATCATAAGAGTACCGCTTGATGAAACACTTAACATTTGTATGCAAACTGTGTGATGGCGGATTCTTCCCGTAGGGCAGAACACGCGTCCCCTTTTCGCGAACATTTGGTCTCGTCACTTTTTCTCAGTATCCCATACCTATAATTTTCACCACTACTTTGCCCTTTGCGCCCTATGAAATCTGTCTCGGCAGATAATCGACATTGTTTATTCTCTGACTTTGACGTTTTATTTGTATTCAGTAAACATCGCATAAACAAGGAGTCACTGAAAACTAATTGATGTTTGATGCAGTGCAGTATTCATAAGGACGTGTGCCTTGTTCGGATCTGTAGTAACGCTGCTATTGTTTGTGATACTTGCAATGTGTTGTAGCATGACGTTCTTCACGATGTAAACAGGGATGATCAAGTCCTTGAGATGAGATGCGCCCCTCAGACGTGCCTGAGACAGTTGGTCGCGTGTTTTTCCCCAAAATCGCCATAACATATTTTTTATTAAGGTGTCAGCCCTATATCCGTACTCGTATGTCTCACGATTGTTGTAAACATACACGGCTGGCATCACTTCAGGCAATCTTTTAACATCATTCTGACATGGCATGATACATCGGAAACACTTTTCAAAGATGTCAACATTCACTCCAAAGTTTGTTGTTTCTAACTAAGGCAATGCTTATCATTTTATTCCAAAGACACGGAACTCACTCTTTACTCAATAGGTTTGTGCTTTAGAGAAGATCAATCCATGACTTGGTTCGGATGATACGCATCACTATTTACTTCAACATCGGAGGTGTATGTACCAATTCCACTCTGACAATACAAATGCCAAAAGAGTTTGACATGACACCTGAGCTTCTTTTGTAATTGATGTAGTTTACTTTTAATTTAGGTGTTATCACTAGTTGGAAAAAGCGTGTGTAGTTTCGGCTTTGTTGGTTAAGTGATCTTTATCCTCGTAGGTAGTAAAATGTGATATATGGATGTTATAGTTATTGAACTCCTTGGGTGTCGACACGAACTACACTGTGATTGAACTCCTCAATGTGAGTGTGTCATTGTACTGAACAATAAAAACGTAGGTTCCTTAACCCTGTCAGAATGCGTCGATCGAGGATTCGAATCACTGCTCTATATCAGTTGTATGACGTCTACAGGAATTCACTTATGATAAATATCATTGTCACCAGGTGAGCCGTTGTGACATGTTCCTTTTGTTTAATGCCGAATTAAAGCTAATTGACGAGTGCCTGTAATATTCACGCCTCAACAAATGATTGATACTATGAGCAACACCCCGATGATGTACTAATGGCACACATTCAAACGTCCCAAAGCCTGACATCGCGATTCATGAGATCTCGTCGTAGCAGGAATCCCCTTGAGACGACCTGTCAGAACCAACTAATCAAATGTAAACAAGCAAAACATGTGTTGTGTAAGGCCATATCCTACTGAGAGAATATTGTGCTGAAGCTCTGTTATCATGCTTTTCTGGCCATATCTTGATGTCTGAACCCTTAAGGGATACCAGCCTTGGAATAAACCAAGTCATCCAGAACCAACTTGTTTGTCTCCTAACTATTCATGTGATTTTTTAAGTGAGTATATCATAAATATATCTGACATCACTCATCTCCTGGGAGTATAATAGGATATATATCGTCTCCTAGAACTCTTCAAATATATTACCGACAGTCAGCATGATCAATTGTTAATCAAGCTAATCAATATGTGCAGCACAAAGCGACCAATGTTTGTAACAGACATAAACAAAAAAGACAGCAGCAGAAATCTGCATTTATAATAATTTAAGTGAATGTCAAAAAAGGCAAATGGCGATGGATATATTGCTTACTACAACGTCTTGAATTATTTTGTTAAAAAGAAGCGAATAAATTAATATCCATTTGAAGCACGTCTGTAATAATGAGTTGGATTACAGTAAGTCACTGGCTCGCATGCCTGGTCGTAAGAGGCGGTGTATTTAGAATGTGTCTTCTGAACTTGTTGATAGCGTGATTGTTGTCCTTGATGACGTAGATCGTTGCAAATGTTGTCAGTCAGTGGTTTGACAAATTTAGATGACTCACAGGCGGCCGTGATATCTAGAATAATGTGGAGTTATACCAATTAGTACAGTGCAGACCCATATTTCACATATGAACAGTTTTGAACTGTATCGTACTGCCATTTGGAAGCGCATATGTGAGCATAGAGTCTTCATATCAAAGACTTCGTATGGCGTGCACATTGCTGATGGTCACAATGTAAAGTTTATTTTATCCTTATTGAGGTGAAATAGTTTGTTTTGAGAAGCCTTTGGTGAAAGTCCGAACATAAACCTGTCGCAAATGACACGTGACCCCTCATCTCTCTGAGAGAAAATAATCATACGTGAGCTCCAAAACTAAGTAAAATGTGAATTCAATTCAATGGGAAGACTGGATTTTTGACATGGCCCCTATATGGCTTGGTGGAAGAGGTGACTACATTTGATTTGTCGGAAAGTTTGTTTGGTATTTTTGGTGTTTGTCCTAACAGTCATTAATATTCCAGCAGCCCTCAAATAGTCCTCTCTTGACCAGGCAAACCAGTGGTTGATAGTTTGAGCACCAATCCACGACATCGCTATACGATGACACGCAATCACCAAAGTCACCCAAGTTTCTGACACAGAATCCCGACCACGTACCTGTGCTTTCAAAAATAATTAGTTGCCTACAATTACCCTTTCAAATATTATGCTGTTATGTCTACATTCTATATTTTGATATGTTAATAAAACCAATATTAGTCTGACATGAGTGTGAGTGAAAGTCAGAAATGATAGATGGTTTGCACACTGCTTGCGTAAAATGTTATTGCAATGAAAGAGAAAGATTCGATGAGGTCACAATTTTTATTCAGAAATGTGAAGGGATAATAAAATAAAACACCAGTACGTAGTGATGTACATTTCCATTGTGTAGGTATTTATTTCCATTTATCATGGCCAGCAGTAGTTATGAGACCCATTAGTTTAAGTGTTGATTGCATACATCTTGCATGACACGGAACAAGAGACCAATTAGAACAGCTGTTGTACACTAGACAATCTTATAGATGGAAATCATCCAGCCTCCTCCACACATCGTGCTTCTGTCACCAGGACATGGGACGTTGCATTCACTGTCGGGTTTCTTCATGAACCCATCTTTGATGACAGCACCACAGAAGCATTGACGCCCTGCCTGGAATCAGAAGTAGCATGTGCAATACTGTATCTGATTTCCTGCTTATTTGGAAACTCCAACACTAAGCCCCTGATAACCTGATGTATATGTCTGAACCTGTGATTCTGAAGAAGGGAATAAACAAACTGGACATGAGGTGCTCGTCACAAAAACAATTGAATTAACATCATGGTACAAATCTGCAGGTTGCCAGCAACAGAAATGTGAGTATCTCGTGGTTATTATCCGAGATGTATCCGGTTTGAGGGGCTGGTGTGATGTGTTTGTTTGGTGTACTAGTCTGATGGTCTAGTCTGGTGTATGGGCCTGATGAAATGTTATCATGTATGAGGTTCTGGTCAGATGTACTGCTCTGAGATACTGGTCAGATGCATAGAGTTGATTTAATGTTAGTCTGATGTATTTGTGCAATGACATGAAATATACCAAGTTACCAAAATCGAACACCCGATCAAATTCTCCTCATACGATACTCCATAGGAACCAATTCTTACCCAGAAACCCCATGTCCTTCAATATAGCATAGTGATGTGGATTATGACATGTGCATCGATAGTATGTGCATCGCTTCTACAGAACATACTAAATATGCATCCCTTAATATCATGGGAATCTGTACTGATACATGGTGTTCTTGCAACCCTACTTTGGGCAATCTCTGTCTTCCCACTGGTACAAATGTAGAATGTTCCAACTCAAACCACCAGTATCTTGCCGCAGAGTGACATCATATTGGCTCTGTTACCATTTTAACTTAACCGGAAGAATAATAACTACTGTTTACCCATGTTTGACCTGTAAAGAAGTTTTAAGTCTTGTGTTGTAGACGGTAGCTCACAAATATTTGTTTTAGTTACATATAAGCCTTGTTTGTCATGTCAGCTTTAAATTTAAATTGATACAGGCTGTCTCACTCGAGTTTTGGTATCTTGCTAGGTACCTTTCCTCGACCAATGCGTTCGTCCTTCACCAAGTATTACATGGAGTTTGGGAAACAAACTAACTAGATTTGAAAATCGGCAAGTGATTTCATCTGCTTTTAAACTTAAACACTTGTGTTTCTTTCTGCTGCATTTGAATATGTGTACTATGGTTGATTATTTAAAGAAATATATTATTATAAATTTCAAAATTGTCTACCTCAGTTCCAAAGTAAATGTAGTTCATTCCGTGGCAGTGAAGCTTGCACGTTTCAGTTGTCAGGCATCTTCTGTCCCCCATTAAGCCGTATGGAAGTACACGACTCTTGTCATCGGTGTAACACCCAACGTATGTGTATGGAACTGTTTGAGTAGATAAATAATAATGATCAGTAGGGGACATAAAATATAATGTGAACAGATTAGCCAAATGTAATTGGTTATGAAATACATGCAAATAAATTGTTATAAGAGAAAGACGTGCTCACGACCAAGCATGACGAACATGTGAAAATTAAAGAAATTTACTTAATGTTAATGGTAGAATGGTATGATCCCTGTGTACATCATATGCACAAAAATAAATTGTTTGCGATTACTGAAGAAGTATATTATATAAACACTGCTTACTTAATGAGACACAGACAATATTAACGTCTAACACGGTAATAAGTTGTTATGATGATGAAATCTCATATATGTAGTTTGAACATATATTTTTTTTCAGTAAAAGAAATCCGAGTACTTGTAGCTGTAAACACGAGACGTGTCGCACTACACCTACCATTTGCCTGATTAACAGTGGCAGGACATGTCGTGGTAGTAGTCGTAGTTGTTAGAGTCGTGGGTGTGGTTGTGGTAGGCGATGGAGTCGTGGTGGTGGTGGCTGGTGATGGAGTCGTGGTGGTAACGAGAGGTGGTTGAGTCGTGGTGGTAGTGGTAGGTGGTGGAGTCGTGGTGGTAACGGGAGGTGGTGGAATCGTGGTGGTAGTGGTAGGTGATTGAGTCGTGGTGGTGGAGTGAGGTGGTGGAGTCGTGGTGGTAGTGGGAGGTGATGGAGTCGTGGTGGTAGTGGTCGGTGGTGGAGTCCTGGTGGTTGTGGTCTGTTGTGGAGTCGTGTTGGTGGTAGTGGTTGCAGATGGCGTCGTTGACGGTGTGGTAGTAGTGGTTGTGGTAGTGGCGGCTGTTGATGCCACACACACGTAGTTAGTCCCTGCTTCAACTGGCACACAAACCTCGTTCTCTTTACACGGACGGCCGCGACAAACCATCCCCTGGAACTCTTTCTGCCAACACATATGAAAAAAAAACATTACAGTTTCTACTCTGAATATTGGATTTCATTAGGACATACATACAGGATGCGATAATATTTTTGAGTGAAAAGCTCCCGTGGATCTTTTCAAAAACCTGTTCTAAATGTAGAAAAAAATGAAACACAGGTTAGATACATGGATACATGAAGTCTTTTTAAGTGTCCCCCAATATCGTATTGCTGAAATATTACTTGAAGCAGCATTAAACCCAAATCATTCCAAACTAGTTTTTAAGGGTAGTGATAACAGTAATCGTTGAGTATAGCAACACGAATGAACCTGCTCAATTCTAAATCTGTCTATCTCGAAATGTATCCTTCTGTGGAGTACTCCCGTATATATATATCTCTTGTTTCCAGTTCATCATTCTCCTATTACCTAGAATGTGCATCTTTTGGCCCTAATGGCCGCAAACAATTATTTCTTATATTATTTGTAAGGGTGTGGTTGTGGGCTAGTGGCGAGGTTGCAGGGTAAAGGGTGAACTTGGAGAAAAGGTTTGGTTGTGCGAAATGATTGAGGTTGTCGAGATGGTGAAAAGTTTTGAGATTGCGTGAGATTTTCGGCAAGGGGTGACGATATAGGTTGTGGGGGGCGGCTGGGGTTGTTGGGAACGGGGCGTGGTTTTGCGAAAGAGCTGAGGTTGTGGGAAGTGGTGATGTTTGGCAAGCGGTATACTTGTTGGAAATGAGTGCTGTTGTATGTGGTTGTGTGAAAGCTTGCGGCTTTTGTGAAATAAATGAGGTTGTGCGAATGGGGTATAATTGTGAGGTGAGGTGAGGTGAAATTGAGTTTAACGTCGCGTCCAAGATTATTGCACTTATATAGCGGGTATAATTGTGAACATGGACACAACTTTGTGTGAAATCGAGCGATTTTGTCAGAGTGGTGCAGTTTTGTGGAAGGGTGAGAATTTATTGAGTGGTGTTTGGTTGTGAGGAGAACATATGCAGTTGTGTGGAGGGGGCGTGGTTGAGCAAGAGGTGATGCTGTTAGAAAGGGGTAAGGTTGTGGGAAAGGGGCGCTGTTGTGAAAAAGCTCTGCGGTACTAGCAATATTCATGCAATATCACGGCGGGGGAAACATGAAATGGGTTTCACACATTGTCCCCATGTCGGAAATCGAACCTGGGCCTTCGGCGCGACGAGCGAACGCTTTAACCACTAGGCTAGGGTTTAGTTTCTGGGAAAAGTTTGATGGTTGCGAACAAGAGGCGTGAAAGGACAACTTTCATATTCTGAAACATGCTTCATGTATACAGCTTTATAAATACAACTGCATGCATACAAATAAAGACTTTTTTTACCAACACCAATTCTCAATTTCTCAATGACAAAGGGTGTGTGTGTGTGGGGGGGGGGGGTTGGTGTTAGTCCTAGCTGAATACATCTATAATGAGTTGTCTGTGCCCTTTAAATGGGTAAAGACATTAATCTATGACTCGGGTAAGAAAGTGAATGTCAAACTATAAAACGCGAGAAAGACAATGTAACGCTTATACACTTTACATTTCCACAGTAGCAGAGTCTTGTTTATACGTGATCAAAGTGGACTACCATCAAGGAGGAACACTGTTTTCATTCCGTAAAGTATGGTGGATGATTAATTCAAGATTGGAAATACCTTTCTTTTCCCAGTCATATTCATATCTGTGTAGTGTTACAAAAGGGAACAACAAAGTCCCAACACATTCAGTACAATAATATCATGAATGGGTTTGTAATTACTCACTTATTTAATGAAGATAACAATACACTATTTCTTTTATTATACAAATAGGAGACTATGCTATAATTACAATGTAGTGATTTTCATCCTTTATATGTTATTATGTTATTCAACTTACCCAATACTTTGCAAGGGGCATCGTCTCTGTCCCAGTGTCACCTTGTGTGTGCAGATGGCAGCTTCTTGTGACAGCATCCCAGGTGTAGGAGCCACACCTAGTTGTGTAGGTACACAGAGAACCACATCTCAGGGAGGAAGGCACCACCCTGGTAAGGAACACCTCCTCGCCTTTACATGTGGCGTGGCTACATATAATGTAGACTGTAACTACCTCAAATACAAACATGTACATAGCTGAGGGTACTGTTCGATGTTACTTACTCCAACAGAGGCAGACCAGCGACAAACATGCAAACAGTAACGAACAGCTTAATATATCAGGCGTTGGGGGATTAACGTGCACATTAATATTGATAGTGAAGTTCTGCAAGTGCTAACTTAAGAACTGACAACTTATTGATTGATTTTCTATAAGTTAGGGACGGCGGTTTTCTTTTGGGTAGAGCAACAACAAAGTAAGGAAAATGATTAGAATGTTTGAGAAGATTTGATTGAACACATATTAATCCTTCACACACAGAGAGGAAGACAATGTCTCTCACTAGATCCCACAACAACCTCCCGTTGTATCCATCCTACACATGTTCACATATATTTCATTCCATCCTACACATGGTCACATGTATCTCACTCCATCCTACAAATGGTCACGTGAACAGCCGGGTAGAATAGATCTTCAGCAACCGATGCTTGCTGTAAAAGGCGACTATGTTTGTCGTAAGAGGCGACTAACGGGATCGGGTGATCAGGCTCCCTGACGGGGTTGATGCATGTCATCGATCCCAAATGCGTGGATCGATGCTCATGATATCAATCACTGGATTGTCTAGTCCAGATTTGATTAATTACAGACCGCCGTCATATAGCTGGAATATTATTGAGTGCGGCGTTAAACAACAACGAAACAAACAAAACAAACATGGTCACGTCTCCCATCCCACCCTAAACATGTAAACATATATTTCATTCCACCCTACACATGGTCACCTAATATCTCACTCCATCCTATACATGGTTACGTCACTCATCCCGTCCTAAACATGTCCACATATATTTCACTCCACCTTTCACATGGTCACACATATCTCATTCCATCCTACACATAGTCACCTCACTCATCCCGTTCTAAACATATATCTCACTCCATCCTACACATGGTCACATATATCTCACTCCATCCTACACATGGTCACATATATCTCACTCCATCCTACACATGGTCACATATATCTCACTCCATCCTTCACATGGTCACATATATCTCACTCCATCCTACACATGGTCACATATATGTCACTCCATCCTTCACATGGTCACATATATCTCACTCCATCCTACACATCGTCACATATATATCTCTCCATCCTACACATTGTCACATATATCTCACTCCATCCTACACATGGTCACATATATCTCACTCCATCTTACACATTGTCACATATATCTCACTCCATCCTTCACATGTCCATACATATCTCACTCCATCCTATACATGGTTACATCACTCATCCCGTCCTAAACATGTCCACATGTATTTCACTTCACCTTTCACATGGTCACACATATCTCATTCCATCCTACACATAGTCACCTCACTCATCCCGTTCTAAACATATATCTCACTCCATCCTACACATGGTCACATATATCTCACTCCATCCTACACATGGTCACATATATCTCACTCCATCCTACACATGGTCACATATATCTCACTCCATCCTTCACATGGTCACATATATCTCACTCCATTCTACACATGGTCACATATATCTCACTCCATCCTTCACATGGTCACATATATCTCACTCCATCCTACACTTGGTTGCATATGTTTCACTCCATCCTACACATTGTCACATATATCTCACTCCATCCTACACTTGGTTGCATGTGTTTCACTCCATCCTACACATTGTCACATATATCTCACTCCATCCTACGCATTTTCACATACATATCACTCCATCCTTCACATGGTCACATATATCTCACTACATCCTTCACATGGTCACATATATTTAATTCCACCATACACATGGTCACGGCACTCATCACTCATTTTTTTATAGCCAATAAAGAAAGACGTTTATTGATGTTGGTTTGTGTATATTTGTTTATCTTTTTGCTTAACGCAGCACTCATAAATACTCCAGCCATATGCCGGCGATCTATAAATAAGATTAGACCAGAATATCCAGTGATTGACATCATGAGCATCAATCTACACACTTGGAATGCGATTACATGCATCAACCAAGTCAGCGACCCCGATGTCCTTCTCCAGCCTATAACAAAATACCAACAAAACATATATGCAGGTAACTGCAGATGATAACGGGTTTAATACACCCAGCATACTTCAAATATATTACAGTCTCTTCATACACTAAGTATAATTGTTTTCAATTGTGAAACGCTGGTGGCTATGCAAGGCTAGGTTATTTATTAAATCATTATTTTAAGAAGTCATCAACACAATAAAGTTATGTATATCATGATATTTCCAATGCATATCAGAATTCGTTTTTTTCCTGAAAGATTACACTTTAATACACACAAGCAAAGCTTATAATTCATCTTCGATTTCGTCACCATTACATAGTTTGCGGATGTAATCACTTCTTTGCAATGACAAATGTCTTCCACATTCAATTTTCTAATTGTAACATGCCCAATCTAAAGTGTAGTAAAATATGGCGAGAGCGTTTTCTAGTTATATACATAGTTATACAACTGTTCATAAGCTCTGCTCTGTATTATGTAAGACTGAATTACTCTAATGTGTCATATATGTATCCTGTAATCTCTGCAAAAATTCAACAAAGCCTTGATTGATTCTTACATTAATAAATCTACCAATTATCATGAAAGTTCTTATCACTGTTAGCCAGTTGTTTGTTCCCCATTCGTCATACTGTTGAAGTAGCAGATGACATATTTTTATAATTTATGTGTTCTGGTAATTTAGGTACAGATATATAGCTGGAATATTGTTGAGTGCGGCGTTCAACAACAAACAAAACATAAAAAAAAACATGTCAGGTAACACATACAGGTGTAGAAACTATAAGCATCAGATATAAAATATCTGATAAAATATACAAGTATTGAACAGTTCAAGAGTGTCAAATTTAAGTATGCCACATCAGTAAACAATTTCAATATGGTTTGTATATTTCACATAATATTTATGTGTTATATCACTGCAGCTTTTTCAGTATAATGTAGTATTTTCATATGCTCACAAACAATTATAGTTCATCATTTCAGAATTTCGGACTGACCATTTCATTAGGTTGCCTTCAACAATGTCACTTCGACATATGCTGATGTGACAACATTTATTGATGCAAATTATGTGTACCCGGAAATTCATTGGGAAACTCACACATACTTACACGGAATGATATATATATATAAGTTTACTGTTAAAAATGAATATTAACAAACACTTATACGTCTAAATTAAAATTAAGTTTCTTTGACAGGTATTTAGAAGTTGGAGTACTAAGTAGGGTTAAGAATTTATGGATGAACAACTTCGGTTTGAGTCGGTTGATGGTTGAGATTGCGACGTCTCCATCAAGACGACGAATAACGTCTTTGATAGGCATTTAGAAGTTGGAGTACCATGTAAAGATACTTCACTTGCTTGATAACGGTGTTAGAACCTACACTGAAACGTCGCTCTTAATTGTAATAAGAAGTTGTTCATCCAAAATATTCTCATCCTTACCTATTAAAATTAAGGTTTACATAACCGGATAACACGACACATAGGTCGATCAAGTTTATAGCATTCAAGGCCTTAGTTTGGCTTTATTAACATACAAATGTTCCCATGTTGGTGTAAAAACTTAATTTACATTTACATGTGTTTGTGACGGGTGCTAGATGTGGGACAGGATACGCTCACCTTTTTCCGCGAACACATGGTATCATCACTATTTGATAGTCATCCAAAAACATATGCTCATGACAGAATCGGGAGCGTACAATGGATTTCGATGCTTATATTTTACATTACTACAGATGTGCATTTCGATCCTTGTTAGAAGTTGCATACACATCCCCTGTGACGTCAGTTCCAGACACAAACGGATCTTGGATATTTTTCCTGGGTTTCTGTACTTCAGTGTATACGTCTGAAACTGAAGTTCACACAATTGGTAGTAAGCTTGTGTCATACTTCCATTCATCACTTCATAATCTTTAACCATAGAAAAATGAGAAAAAAGATAACAATATGTGAATCGTCCCTGGACATTAAATATGAACAAATTATCAACTACAAGAGTATGCATTTTAGCTTTCCCTTACCATGTTCAACATTTTAAGGTTTGCCTTTGTTAGGTTTAGCGTACAGGTTCTCTAAGTCGTCGCCACCAGACGAAACCTGCTCCTGTGGTGTACACGTGTTCTCCATTGGCATGTCAACACTCGCGTAGGCATCTGGTGAAGAAATGTGACGTTTAAATGAATTTATATAATATATATCATTACTAGTGAGTGGGTGAGTTGGGTTTAACGCCGCTTTTAACAGTATTCCAGTTATATCACGGCGTGTCAGCTTAATGTGGAAGGAAAGCCCGAAGTGATGCAGGTCTCAGACGTTTACCACTTCGGTGAAACCCACGAGCACGGGTATGGTGCTGACAAACCTAGAAACATAATTGGGGCGAATATATCATTACTTAAGCAAACGTATGAACATGTTATAATTAAGCACATATATAGCAGAGCGAGCATGGTAGTAGGAGTTCAAATATAATGCTTGTAACATTTAGAGTTGCATATTAACATGCAGTTACCTGACAAAATAAAATCCTCCTCCTGATTCGCAGCTGCATTGATTGGAGGGACATTGGATGATCTTTCATATAAGTCATTTTCCACTGAAACATATACAATTACATATAACAGAATACGGAACTTACGCCACGTAAATTGGCTGTGACAAAGGTTACTTTCGTTCAGGGGGATTCGAGAGATGTCATAGGACCTTTGTACGCATCAGTATCTGATGTATAATTACCATGTATGATTGCGTGTATGATACACGTGCATCAGTAGCATGTGTATGACAGACTAAGTGTTTGTGTGATTGTGTCATGTGGATTAGGATGGTCGCCCTTTTTGATTGGTTAAATATATCTAGAAGCGAGAGACGAGCGTCAAAAGTCGACGAGGAATGTAAATAAACTCTCTTGACTCTCGGGGGCACGGGTGGCCCAGTCATCTAAAGCGCTGCGTTCGCTGTGCAGAGTTGTGTCCCATGAGCACGCAAGAAACCTGTGATTGTGGGTTCGAATCCCGGTTCGCCCCGATTATGTTTCAAGGTTTGTAAGCACCATACCCGTGCTCGTGGGTTTCACCGTCTGAGACCTGCATCACACGCCGTGATATAACTGGAATAATGTTAAAAGCAGCGTTAAACCCAACTCACTCACTCAAATCACTCTTGACTTTCAGATCAGGCGATAGCGTAAGCTCTCCTGACTTTCAGAAACAAACAGATGCTTCAAATTGTATGCTCAAGGTGTGAGCAGATGGCATTTGGTCCACGACCACAGGGACATAACTCACAGCAAACAGCTTGCTTTCGGACACTCGCCTTTTAGTTCTTTTAGTTTTCGTAAGTGGTGACACAGCGCACAGGTCATAAATCAGGTGAAGTTAAGCAACGCCAGTTTCGGAGAGTACTTGCATGGATGACAGCTTTCAGCAGAGTGACTCTACGGAGTTTCTAGGAGTTCGGTTCTGCACCAAACTAAAGCACATGTAGTACATGTTTTATCATCCAAAACTGGCTCCCACAGAAGATATCGCTTGGATTAGATCAAGCGATATCTACACTGTAGAAATCGGTGCAATTAAATTACACCACCATGCTTTGCAGACCATTTTGACGTCACTGGCTACCATGACGTCACAATCAAATGACATCACTAATAGCTCTGGTACTGAAGCTGTAAGCAGTACTTTTTACACTGAAGACACTGCTAATTACTGTCTACAAATTGAAAAAGTTCGAAGAATGATGTTGAATGATAAGTAAAATCTCACCCGTGTGTCTTTTGATATCAAATTTATCAATACTCGTTGATAAAAGTGGCAATAATCCTCGGCAAGCCTCGGAATATTACCACTTTTTATCAACTCGTGTTGGTGTATTTGATATAAAAAGACACTCGGGTGAGATTCTCTATCTCTCCTTAGGCAAGTGAATGGTCATAAATCAGGTGAAGTTAAGCAACGCCAGTTTCTGAGAGTACTTGCATGGATGACAGCGTTCAGCAGAGTGACTCCTCAGAGTTTTTAGGAGTTCGGTTCTGCCCCTTACTGAAGCACATGTAGTACATGTTGTCTCCTTAGGCAAGTGACTTTGCTTGAAATGTGCCTCTGTTCACACAGAGGTACAATGAGATGGAAATGAGACAGTTTAATTTCTAGCGCCTGTCAGTCAGCTTTGGTTGTATACGCCCAATGGAGCTGAGAATGAAAATCGGGTGTGCACTGATCAATTGATCAAGAGAATGTTAGCGCTTTGAGCTTACATAGACTAAATGAAGGCCTTTGCAAAATAAATACCCAGATTATCATTAACATTTAAATTTGTATAATCAACTTCACTCACTCACTTTCTCACCAAATCATTTACTCACTCACACACTCAATCATAGGCGTCCTGTTTTTATCATGCAATGCATATTGCTGAAGGATTTGACAGTGAACTACATTATTGATACTTCAGTCGGCAGTTGTGCGAAAAGTGACACTGGTTATCTTGGATATAAATCTTTATGAGAAGCAATTTGCGGCAGGAACTCTTTCTGACATATACTATCATCACAAAGAGATATCAACACAATAACTTGGTTGACTAAATTCGTAATAATGTGACACGTTTCATTTATTAAATGGACGTCAAGAGTAATACTATCACCAGGAGGGATGAATACATTTTCCCTGTAGATTATATCTGTACGGATGCAACTGGTAATACCTAAATTAACTGACTGTAGCGCATCTATATTCACTCTTATTCGATTTGTATTAATTATGAATAAGATTTGGAATCATTTATCGTCTACCCTATTGTTGTAGCACAATGGAAGATGCTAGTAGAGATCTGTCTCCATGGGTGTCTTTAACACAGTCATACACAAAGTCAGCCTCTCAGACAGCACACAAACTATGCTTGAAGTGATCCGCAGACAGTAAGTAAGTGTTAAATGGCAATGCAATTTATTGTTAAACAATGACTGTAACTGTTTTACATTGTTTCTTATGAGATTCACTAGAGGTTAATTGTATTTAGACAATGACTAGTTGTCAGGAATGTTGTGGAAGTTAATGTACGCAGTGATGGGGAAGTTATTATATTAAGATGCTCGAATTGTCTCTATACTTCCGGAAAAGCGTGGGTGATTTCAAACGTTATAGAAACATGTGGAATATTCTGTGATGTTCAAGTGACACTCTTCTTGTCTTGCACCGTGTAGAAAGTGCTAGCAGGTGGAGCGGGTACATGCCTGTCTCATCTCCCGTTCCATCTCACATTTCATCTGACATTACATCATTTCCACTGCTCTCATATTTTCTGCTACCATTGAATATTGTACTACAAATAATTTGTTGATTGTATAGCATGTGTTGTTTGCTAGTTGAATTCACCCTAAATTATTTTATGTAGAGATTACTGGGTTAACATATTGTTTTAATTTGGGATTTGACACGTAACAGGAACAGTGGGGCTCGACTGGGATCGAAATTTAATAAATCACAAATTATTTGTCAAATTATTGAATAAACTTTTTATTGTCTAATTTGGTGTGAAGCCAAAAACGACCATGATGTTTTGGGAAGAGGAGTTAGGAGTTAACCGACCTTCTACGAAACAACTGGTCAAATTGGCGAGAGGTTACAAATCTGACATTAAATCATGTAGGATTACGGCCAAAGTGACGCAATTTTGATAACGTTCCTAGCTGAAGAAGACATTTTGGCAAATGCTGCTTTGGCTTTGTTTGAAGAAAAAACTGTTGTTTGGCTTTAAAGAGATTAGAATTTGAAAGAGAAAAAAATAGCAATGGAAAAGAAAATTTGACTTAGAGAAATGGAAGCAGAAACATTTGGAATTAAAGCTGAGAATGAAAAATTGTGATAGGAAGCTGATAATGAAATTAGGCAGAAACAACAAATTTCAGAATTATCACTCTTTCGGTGAGTCACTAGGTGATGGATCCTTATATTTTTTTCCAAGCAGATTAGACTTGTTCCACCACTCTCTGAACGTGTTCAACAGGTGTTCTTACATTTTGAAAAGGTGACTGGCAGTTTGAAATGGCCTCAAAATCAGTGGGGCACTCATGAAGAGCAACCTCCGCGTGGTCAATGCTGGATAGCGCTAATCGCTCTTCCCCCGACTAAATTGGGCAACCTGTTTGCCGTGGGTTGCACTCCTGTGTCGGTGGAGGAAGGGGTTCTGGTGGTTGAGGGCACTGGACCAGGAACCGATGGTTCTTTTGCCAAACACACCACTTTGACCCTGACTTCACCTACACGGGTGGTAGCATGGGCTTGGTTCTATCAATCGGCTGGTGACGCAATTTTGCCAAGATTGTACAGCCAAAAGGCCGTTGCTCATAGGGCAATCTGGCGCTGTTGACCTCCAAATTCAATATGTATCCATTTTCTTGTCATGGGCAGAACCGACCTGGCATTTAAGTTCGTATACAAATATTGCTCTTTGTGTCATATTCACTGACGTATAACAACCCTGTATCCCTGGTGTTTGCATCCTGGAAATCCGATGCAATTTAACACTGTCCTTGTTGACACTCATTTTCTTTCAGCATGGCTCAAAATCATTCTGGTTCTAAACAAAGACATTTAGATACAAGTTCGTCTGAAATTGATACACATGTTGATTCCTTGGCTTGATTCCTTGTGATCGAAGCTACAGATCATGAACCAACAAAATTGATCCCTTTCGCTATATCCAAAGCTGTTCATGGCTATTGTGGGGATGTGAAAAACGTGACACGTTTGCGCAGTGGATCTCATTTGGTGGAATGTGTGCAAAAGCAGCAATTTATTCATTTATAAACAATCACCCAGTTTGCCGATGTGAATGTTGCTGTTTCTACACACCGGACTCTGAACTCTTACCGTGGCATTGTCCGTGACAGGACACGTTCACTGTCGGATATGTCAGAAGCCGAAATTGTTTCAGAACTTCAAAGTCGAGGAGTTCAATCAGGCAATCGTTCACCCGAAAGAATGAAAAATCAAATATTGTTCAAAAGAAAACATATCTGTTCACTTTTGACCGTCCATCGGTTCCGAATTCGATTAAAGCTGGTTATATCAACATAGGAGTAGAGCTGTAGGTCCCCAATCCACTCCGATCCTACAAGTGTCAAAAGTTTGGACATGGTTCGAAAACTTGTACTCGCCCCAACGTTTGTCTTCGTTGTGGTGGCAACCATGAGAGTACGTACTGTAGTCTAGACCTGAAATGTTCAAACTGTGAAGGCCAACACATGGCCCTTTCCAAATCCTGCCCTATTCATCAGGCCGAAACCCAAAAACGAGTACCCCCCCCCCCCCCCCCCCCCCCCCGAAAAAAAAAAGTTAAAAAGAAATCAGACACTCCGTACCCCATCTTCTTCATAAGTATCTCTCAACAACTCCTTTAAATGCTATAGTTGTACCCATACATAAACCTAGACGGGATCACAGTGACCCCTCAATTAAAGACCCATTTCATTGACCAGTTGCGTTTGCAAAACCATGGAATTACAAATATTCAGTGTGGCTTTCGTAAGAATTGAAGTACTGTTGACCATTTGGTTCGGCTCGAATCATTTGTGAAAAATGCAATAATCAA